TATTATTGTTTGAAATTTAAAACAGTAATTATGTGGGATATTAACCACAGAATTATAAACCAGTATAGATAAGATTAGTATACTATACCAATTAAATATTATGCAAGTATAATAGAATTAAAGTACAGGAAAATGTAAATATGAGAAATAAATTATTTTCCTTTTGAATTTCCTTTAATCATGTTATATTATTTTCCAATATAAAGGTTTCTGAATACCATATTAATTCTATTACACTTATTTACATTATGTACAACGTGGACGGACTAAGTAGAAAAATATTTGAGTTTATAAACTACCTAAATTCTTCCCACAAAAATATTGTTTTAAATTTCAAACAATAATGCCAAAGACCCACTGTTTCACACCAGCTGTACTATTTACAGCTCTTTCCCCAAGTTTTAACTCATAAAGGAATCTCCAGTTCCAATAAGGCATCCCATCACTACAAGTCTGTTAAAATGACAACATGAAAGAGGTACAAATTATGACACCAGGATAGAAAAGATAAGATTTAAATCCAAGTATTATGAAAGCTTATTTGCCCTTACTATCTAAATTTCAGTAATCATTAATATATTGAAAATTCAAATTAGAACAGAAATTCCATTTTGCTAATTAGAAAGACCCAATGAGACAACCCGCCTCTGACTCAGCAGCTTTTCTACTTTACAAGCTGTGCTTAATGTTGCAACGATAAGACTGAAACTTAACTTTCAAGCTAAGCAGTAAAGCCAATGCAAAATCAATATTTGTCTTGGCAAGAAACTCCAATGAAAATATGAAATGTTTTGGTCTTAACTGGCAGATATATAAAGAGCGAAGGTGCCTTGTTGAGTTACTATTTATCATGCCAAATCCCTTGTGCAGAGCTACAAATTAGCTTTTATTGCAGATACTTAACATGTTTCTTTATAGAGAGCACCTCAACCAAATAACCTTCCAAGTCTGGCACCATGAATTGCTACAGCCTTGCAGTTCCTTGTAAGTCAAAACATTTGCGTTTTAAGAACAGTCTCCATACACCAACTCAACTGCAAATTTCTTCAGCTGAAAGTTCAAGTTTATGCTACACAATACTATGTTTACTCTCAACAACAGAATGCACTGATTTACAAATTACTAAAGAGTAAAATAATCCAATCTACAGCTTCAACATTTCTAACATCATAGACTTTCTATTATCTAAATTAACAAGTCCAAACAGTAATATACTAAGTGTGTTACTCCAGTCAAAGGCAAATGACATTATTGCCAGTACACTAAAATCAGTAGTACAAAAGATCAGATTCCTAATCCCAATCAACTATTTTGAAAAACGGCTACAGGAGATATCAATGAGGGGAAAATGTGGATTGATTTTGCCATCACTAGAAAAACGAGTCAAAGCAAGCCTATATGAGAGGCTTCCACATGAATACTATCTAAGTTCATTTCCGAGTTCCCAGTCTCACATCTAGAAAGCAGTTTCCCAACTTTTTAACAGTAATATAAAGAACAGGGCAGAAAATAAAATACAGGTTTTTTTTCCTGATCATACTGATCAATAGTTATCCTTTAATGCTCAGAGATGTTGTCTTTTTGCGACTAATTTTACTCTTACCACGTGTACACAGAAAATCATATA